ATTTAACTTGTGCTGATATTAGCATCGCTATATCGCATCTAAAGAACAATAAAAGCCCTGGCCCCGACTATATTACAAATGAGATAATAAAAAATGGAGGCGATATAATGATTAAATCCTTGCTCAAACTGTTCACAATGCTATCTGAACTTAAACTTATTCCAGATGAATGGAATGAAGGAAGTATAATCCCTATACTTAAAAAAGGAGAACCGAGAGATATGAATAACTATAGAGGAATAACACTTAACTCGTGCATTGCTAAAGTTTATAGTAGGACCATCTCTCAAACGGTGTCAAACTTCTTAGAAGATTCAAATCTTCTAACGGATGTACAAGGCGGCTTTAGGAAAAACAGACGCTGCGAAGACCATATATTCATAATTAAAATCAAAATGGCCGCGAGAAAAGCAGAAGGAAAGAAAACTTTCTTTGCATTTTTGGACTTCAAAAAGGCGTTTGACTCCGTTTGCAGGGATGGTCTATATGCTGCTATTTACAGAATTGGCATCAGGGGACATTTAATAAATATCATTAAGAACCTCTATACAAATGTTAAAGGCAAAGTCATTTTTGGTGAAATTGAAACATACTTGTTTTCAATTGACAAAGGAGTGAAACAGGGATGTTGTTTATCCCCTGTATTGTTCTGTATTTTCATTAATGAATTAAATAAGATAATAAGAGAAAGACAATTAGGTGTTACTATTTCAAATGTAAAGATCGGTTCCTTATTTTGGGCTGATGACGTAGTACTGATAGGGGAGGATGAACAGGGCCTAAATAAATTATTAGAAACGGCAAGTGAATTTTCAAGAATATGGAAACTATAGTTTAACCACGAAAAATCAAACATTTTAATAGCTGGACAAAGAACTAATATTCAGAAAAAGTGGAAACTAGGAAATAATTACATAGAAGAAAAAGAACAATATAAATATCTTGGTGTATAAATATCTCGCACCCTATCAGACAATTATCACATCGAAGAGGTCATTAAAAAAGGGAACCGATCTATAGCACACATTAAATCAATAATTAACGATCAAGATAATTTTTATCGTATATATTATGGAAATTTGTTGTGGAAATATATAGAATTCCTACCTTTAATTATGCCAGTTCTGTCTGGTTTTGTAACAGAAAAACTGCATTAGATAAGGTGGAGAAACTCCAATATCTTATGGCAAAGACTATTTTAAAATGCCCAAGTTATGTTGCCAAAGAGGCACTTTACGGTGAATTAGGATGGGAATCGTTATCATCACAACAAAATAATATTAAGGTCGAGTATTTTAACCGCTTAAAATATATGAATGATGACAGGTGGCCAAGATTACTTTTTAAGGCAATTATGAATAATGAAGATAAACTAAAATGGAGTTGGCTCTCACATTTAAAAAAATATTACTTACTTACTAAAAACATACTTGAAAGAAATGGTCTGCATGGCCTTTATAATTGTGAGCCAGCTAAAGGCTGGTCTAGAACGTTTAAAATTAACCACAGAAATAACGAAGACAGAGATTGGCTTATCAGAGCCCAACAAAAATCTACACTTCAAAATTATATAATGTATAAAGGAGCCCGTAAATTTTAACCATATCTTTTAGATAAATTAAATTTTTGCGGAATCAACTTGAAATTTAAAATACGCTCTAACTGCCTTAAACTGGAAGCTAGAAAAGAATCTTGGTCAACTAACAATTACAATGGATTTTGTAAATTGTGTAAAGAAAATGAAAAAGAAACAGTTGACCACTTTTTATTTGATTGTAAAACACTTGATAAAATTAGAGTTAAATCATTTAAAGAAATTAAAAATCAATTGTATGATAATAACTTAGAAACACATTAGACTAATTTTATTAATGGTTCCATTGATTATAAAAGACACTTCATTTTGGATAATGTATATGATGATAACATAATTTTAGGTCAAATTGTAGACAAGAACTGTAAACAATATTTAATAAATGCATGGCGACTTCGGTCCGAATTTTATAACACGTAATAGTACCATTAATTGTAAATATTAGGACTGACCTCATGTTAAAGGTACAGTAATGCTTTATCACCCCTTAACTTAAACTTTTTCAGTTGTACCGTATTTATTGTTTGTAAAGTATGTCTTCATTTTCTTGTATTATTTTAAGGTCCCTTCATAAGGTCATCTCAAGTGATCCTTAGTTGTCACTAAGGATCCTTTGTGGTTACCTTATGAAACATTTGTTAAGACTTTATTTTATATGACAGTATATATATATATATATATATATATATATATATATATATGTGTGTGTGTGTATGTGTATG